CCGGTCTGTATGTGGGATCCGAACCCTCGGTGGGAGCACAGCCGCGCTTCCCAAGCGGCGCACTAGCGCAGTGCGCCACCGGGCCGGCCCCCAAACTGCATTTCTTAACCAAGAATCTCTTTCTCTCTTCAAGCAAGGTGGTTATTTATTATCATTATTTTAATTTTGTTTACCAAGCACTCAAGTGGTCAGCTTCATGCATTCTTTTTCTTTTTGGATGGGTCAACTTTTATTTTTTCTAGTTTATTGAGGTATAATTACAAATAAAAATTGTAACCGTTTAAGGTGTACAAGATGACATTTTGACATGTTTGTATTGTGAAATACAGACCACAACCGAGCTAATTCACACATCTATCATGGGCATTCTGACGTATGTCAATACCCTGCCTGGACAGCAGGGGCATCTGCCCGCATACCGTTCTCCCTAGGAAATGCTGGATTCTAGGCACTGGCAGGAATGCTGAGGCCCTTGTGGACAAGAGCTGATGTCCTTGGCTTTCCTTCACTGGGCATTGGTGGGGTGGGGATGGGGTGTCCCCAAATCCTGCCCAGCTCCGACACACTGCCTTTTTTTTTTTTTTTTTTAAAGATGACCGGTAAGGGGATCTCAACCCTTGACTTGGTGTTGTCAGCACCACGTTCACCCAGTGAGCGAACCCGCCATCCCTATATGGGATCCGAACCCGTGGCCTTGGTGCTATCAGCACCACACTCTCCCGAGTGAGCCACGGGCCGGCCCCGACACACTGCCTTTAGAATTTCGATCCAGGTTGGGGCCCTGAAGCTGAGGGGTACAGAGGAGGAGGAATATAGGTAAAAAGTCTTAGTTTCTGAATCCGTGAAATGGGAATAAACACTGATGGATCATGCCAGGCTGTTGTGGGATTAGAGGCCGAAGGGTTTGAGGATAAGAGGGGTAATGTCCATGCAAGGGCCCGCATATTCAAGAGTTCCACCTTTCCCACATGGCGGGCTTCTCTGGGGTGCTGGTCACATGTGGCATTCAGTTGTGGAATTACACGGAGCCCTGCACTTTTCTACATGTATACTACAATAAAAGCTTATGAAAGTGTAGTGACCTTTCCCTCCTTCCACATATACACTGGGGGTGCCTCAGGGTCTCAGGCAGATTTTCCCACGTCTGAGCACAGGTTGGGGCCAGGAAAAGGGGTCTCCCTAGCTTGGAGGATGAAGCCCCTCCCAGTACTTGAGCCTTAGCCTGGTCTGGAGCACTTTCTGCAGTGTTTCTCTGCCCCCTGGAGGCAGGAAGGGAACTCAGAAGAGCCACACTCCCAAGTAGGGCCTCTCTCCACCCTCTCACACACTTCAGCCAGTAAGGGTCAGACCAGAGTCCAAAAGGCTTGGGCCTGGGCTGGGGGTGGGGACCACAAGTGGGTGGGGCTGCAGGTGGAGGCTGTTGGGAGGGTCTGCAG